AGAGATAGCAGATAAGAAAAATAAGTAAGAATTCATGTTCACCTCCAAGGAAATAATTCCCCAGAATGCGACATAGCCCAAAACTTCTGAAATTAGTGGACCAGATCACGCTATATGGTATCTTCTAAAGAAGGGGCAGGCAAATGTATATATTAATGCAAACTTATTATATCTAGGTGAAGCATTTAGTTAGTTGGCTCTGCAGAGGTCACATATTTTATTACGCATTCTCTCGTTTACGTCTATATTTTTCTACAATTCTGCTGCTGTAAAGAGACACTTCAAATGCATGTTTCTTCTACACAGCCTACAAGCGAAAATACAATCTGCCTTGTCTCGAGCTGTGGAACCGGCACAAAAAGGCAAATATCCGTCATAACTGAGCTGTTGCGAAGTAACATCCACTTGAAATTTATCCTTTGTTCATCCATATCTACTTGACATTCCAGCCTCATGTTCTTGGCAGGTTTTTGGAAAAAATGTATTATATAGACGCTATAACCGTCTTTTTGTATAACGTGGTCTGGTGTTTTAAATTTGAACTTGGTTATGCTTATGTTTTTATACCTCAAAAATGTTGACAGTCTTTCACAATAAGTATTTTTGAAGAGTAACTCATTACCCATGGGATCAAGAAACGTCACTAAATTTTCCGTGATAGAGAAAATCAGTAATGTGTAATGATTATTTTGGAGAACTGGCATAACCATCAAATCTTCGGTGAACGTAACGCTTTCAACGAAGGAAATGGGATAATTGTTGTCAGAAAATATTATCGATGATTTCGAAACTGAAACGATTTGGAATTTGTTGCCGCTGGATCTATTGATTGTGTGCAGGCAGTGATCTACGACGAAATTACTTAGATACTGGCTATCATCCAGTGTAGCAAAATCGTCCTGAAGCAGCTCTTTAGTTGAAAAGTACAGATCCCTGTTTACTAACACTATGTAACCCCTTTTATCCGGCAACTGTCGGTAGAAATAAATGTTTTCTACCAAACCGTTATCCATAACTTTTACTGGTTCGGCAGTTGTCCACTTCCTTTGTGACTTGGATAGGTTTGAAAAATTTAGAACAGAAGGTAATAGATGGAACAAGTAAAACGTTCTCAATTTTTTAAGCAAAACTTTTTATTCCTGGTCACTCGCAGGACTTTGACCCTTTGAACGTATAAATGACTAAATCGCACCAAGACCGATCAGTTATTTCAAGTAAACCCTGTATTTGGTAATGGTAATTATGCATCCCTCGAATAGATTCTCCATTCTTATTCAGAAAGTCGAAATCATATTTTTGGGGATTGGAATTTCGAGCATTGTACGGGCATTTTACCTCTACAGTACCGTCTTCTCCTACAGGCCCATCTGGTGAAGCAGTAAGATAAGGGTACTCACGGTGTATCATCAAGCCAGCCGTAGAACAGTGTATGGTTCGAACGCTCTTAGTATATGACCGCTACGTCATCGTGGGCGGGTCCGCTCATCACGCGGTCGTCGACAGAGCGCAGTGGCGTTCTATTTTATTTGAAGTATAAAATAAAGTGAATAGGTTGTGTAGACATTGATCATTAATTGATTTTTGTATTATTATATTCATTTAGTATGCGCATTAAGTTGTTCGGAAGCAAATTTGAATTAGAAGAGGGAGCAAACTAAAGACGGTTATAATTCAAATTATATATTATCATTAAAAAATCTAATCGCTATCAGATGATAGTGTGTTTAGCTTCAAATCTTCATCTGAGTCGCTTTCGTCACTATCTTCTGATGATGACTCTGTGTTCACATTGAATTGATACGTATCCATTTGATCGTCGAGAAGATGTTCTTTTTCCATTTGTGCTTGCTCATATTTTTTCACGTGGTTACAAATTTTCTTCCACTCATCTGCTCCAATTTCTTCAAACCTGCTACGGGTCAGATGCTCCACATCAGACAACCTAAATGTCACATTTCGTGGAGCAACCCAGTTTTTTACGAGAGCCCAAATCTTCTCGATTGGGTTTAGCTCCGGATGATATGGAGGCAGTCGTAAAACTTTATGCCCGTGCTGTTCCATTAAGGCATCTAGCTTGTATTTGACTGGAAATCTTCTTTTATTTTCCTGTATTTTTTTATATAGTTCGGCCTTAGTCAATGACTTTTCACTAGGAATTTGATGTTTTTCTAGCCAGTCAATCATCTCTGATTTCAGGCTAGAAGACGTTACATTTTTTTCTTCCAGGACATTGTGATAAGAAGCGTTGTCAACTACAAGCACAGAATTTTCAGGCAAATTTGGGATCAATTGGCTTTCTACCCATTTCATGAAGTTCAAATGATTCATGTCGTTGTGGTAGTCCCCAGATTTTGAGCCTGAAAATAAAATACATACATATAATCCAGTAAATGTAAAAATATATTGGAAATATTTTACATCATTGTAACACAAATAATACCTGATTTGAATATCAACAAGGCGTTAGGAATAAAGCCGAATTCTCCACCAGCATGCACAATAATCATTCGTTGTCCTTTTGATAAAGGCGTTTTTAGTTCCTTGTCATAATTGTCATCTGACCATCCTTTTTTTGGGGTATGACTAGAATGTATATATGTTTCATCCGTATAAATTATGTTCCTGTTCTCAGCTCTATATTTCATAATTTGCTTCAGATATTCGATTCGCTTCAAGCGAATTTCATATTTTTCCATGAGAGCTCTTTTATTATCAGTAGTTCTTTTCCATCTGTAGATATAAATTATATTTATAGCGTTGTAAATCGAAAACCTTATAGTGTGTATGAATACTGACCTAAAGCCCATTTGTTTCAAAAGTTTGTTCAAAGTCGTTATTTTACCCTCAAAATTAAGTTGTCGATCTTGCATTTTTTGGTAAATACCTAAAAAAATCTTAAAATGAAATATGACTAGATGCTACGGTTACAATTTTAAAACTTACATTTCAGCGAAGGTCTTCTTTTCTCCAAAATATAAAAATCGTATATGATTGCTTTGATTTCTTCAATTTGGCCTGCAGTCACTTTATCCACAACAGGTGATTTTCGTTGCCGCTTTTTAGATGGGGATGAAAATGAAAAGTTGCTTGAATATATTCCATCTCTGCTCTCTTTAGCTATTTTTTGATAAGTACATTTACTGATACCCGTGGCAGCTAACACACGTTTCCTAAATGGGTTAATCAGTTTTAATTGACAATAATTATAAAAATCTTTTACATTCATACATACCGGTATTGTTGAAGTGGAAACTTTAATCCCTCTACACTTTCCTGTACCATGAAATTATTGACATTGTTGATAATTTCCTTTCCTTGACTCCCAATCGCCTTTCCTTTCACGCCAATCTCTTTCACAGACATTGTTTAGATCACTGGTTCAAAACTATTAATAATTTAAATTTGATCAATAGTAAAAATTTCCACTATATTGCAATCTATTTGACAATTTTTACACACGGTGCCTTGTTCAAATTAGTTTACAAACTGAACTTATGACTAACGGACAGGTTTATATATCTGTTGCAGGTAAAATAAATGTGATTGATTAACACTCATCCTCTTAACGCTACTTACGAACGAAGGGATTTAGCAACCGGGAATTATTCCAGGTAGTTCAATTTTACACTTGTTATTATTAGATTTGTTTCTACTAATTTTGTTTACCTACGCTTGATATTGGTATTAGCCTATTTATCTAGGTACTAATGATGCACTCTAGGAAATCTCATGATTGGTATAGATATAAGCGGATCACAGTCTTAGGATTAATTTAATTTCTTTCAGTTGTTTGCCAACTTTGGGGTTTTACCCTTCAATATTGTGTCTATTATATGTAGGTACCTGTTCACTATTTTAAATTTTGATTTATGGATCTCCATCAAATATCCACAAACCCCATAAGATTAATAATTTTCAACACAATCAAATATAAAATATGATATGGTTAATAAATAAAAAAATAAATAAGTCGAAGAAACGTCTCATCAGATCCCAATTGTGTCAACAATCTCAACTGACTGAAACTTGCACTAAAAAACGTTCCGCCTATGGCTTTCTGATAGTGGGATGTCCCTTAACAGCGTCAACAGCAACATAATTTCTGGACATTGAAGACCACATACATTTTTAAGCTTTCTACGATATAAATATTCGCCACGATTAGTACTGGACCACATTAAGAGGGCGGTAACAGATGTCCATAAATCTTACCAGAGACTGTCACAACAATTTTCTATATTCTTATAGGGTACAATCCACGCAAGGGAGAGGGTATAAAGTGATGACGTAGCGGGCATAACCTTAGGCTGTTCGAACTATACGTTCATTTGTTTTTCGTACAGTTGTATGGCGTCTTTCTCATATTTGAGGCCGTGAGTAGCAGCTGGAGTTCTTATACTGTTTCCACCTCTAATCGCAGCTACTATGTTAGCGTACGAGCTTTCATCCCTTACCTTGCAAATTCTTCCGAAATACGACGAGGTAACTCTGATCTGTCTTTCTTCCTGCAATCTTATACTGTTGCTTTGAAGGCGTGCATCGCGTTCTATCATAGAAATCCGTTCTGGGGATAACTTTATGGACCCTAAGTGTTCCTCACAGCTCTGATAGATATCACTCGAATTGGATATTTGAGGAAGCTCTGATGTGCATATCTTGCATGTGAAATTGAATGTTTCCATATCGACTTTGTTTTCCAATTTCAAACAATATTCATGTACCCATTTCTTACGTGCAAACCACTGGACCCAATTAGTGACAAAGTCCGTAGTACCGTGGCCACAATAACTGCATTAAGTGAAATCGTAATCGTCCTCGGAAAAAACGCATTCCTGAATAGCGATTTTATTATCTTTGTCGGGATTTACAACAGCTGATTTTAAATATGTACCACTAAAGTGAGATGTGTGATTTCTTTTCCGTCTATTCCAGGTCTCCTGTGAAAGTTTTTCGTTTGAGTTATATTTGCTCTCGCAAGGCGTGTCTTAGATACTTGAAGGTTAACTCTCCTTGCTCAAAGACAGCATACCTCTTCTCAGTATCCTGACAAATTCTGAACATTTCAGATTGCGCCTTCCATTGAGAGAGTTTTGTTTCAACTGTCCGAAATAGTTTTGGACATAAGCGTTGCTTAACAGAGGGCCACTTTCTATCATCAATTTCGACCAAAACGGACAATATGGCATGTATTTTTTTGCAACAAGTTGTAGCATATCTTCATTGAAGTATTCACTTTTGTTATACCTCGGAGCAAATGTAATTGAGATCTTTTGAGTTAAAGATAAATATCGCTTATAAAAAGGACTTGAAGTATAAATTACTTCATCAGATATTTGGTGGTCGATTTCAATAGCATTTTCAATGTAAATGAATTCATTGATACTTTCAGCCTGGAATTCATCTGCTACCTTTTTGTAAAATAGTTTCGATCGTTCAACTAAATGACTATTGTATTGGGAGTTCAAGATAATATAGGTACTACAAACGAAATCATCAAAGTCGTTGATGTTATGAATGGATAAGCCAGCTGCAAGCATGTCTTTGAAATATCGACGCTGTGTGTCGTATTTCGCTATGCGGTCAATATCGTGACATATCATTTTTATAAAATGAGCACAGCACAAGTATATTTTAATGACACTATTATCTGTCGATTTTCCTTCTATGGCTTTATCGTAACATAACTGAATATATTCCGATATAGTACGTCTGTTAAAGGCTTTGCAAACAGCATGCACATTTGCAAATGAAAAGTCGGTGACGACACCCGATAACGCTGGCCAAGCATTTTGCTCTTCGCAAAAGTATCTAAAATCATGCAACATTTTGAAAATAGTGTTGGAATCGTGATTGGCTGAAACCATCGAGAATATGGGAAAAATTCATTTGGACGGCCTTATAGGAATAACTGCAGTATATAAATATATTCTTTTCTTAATAAGTGGAAACGGATTTCTTACAACTCCTCCAGTTGCATCAAAATATATAATAGGAAGGACATCACCCCATTTTTCAGATTTCATAACGTTTATTTGTTCTATACTGTATAGTTTGATATTAAAAGGAATTGATATTTCTTTAATATATTCGGGATGATCCTTCAGCATCATCATTATGTCTGTCATATCGGCCTTTGACCTGTCTAACTGTCTGGAAGTTTCTGATTTTAACTTCCTTAGAGTGCTGTCGGATTTTACATTTAGCAAATTTTTGCTTGTTTTGGCAAACTCTGGTTTCATTTCTAAAAGTGAATCTTTCTTATACTGGAAAGCTTTCTTGTTGAGCAGCTTCTGCTTCACCAACTTCCTCTCTACTCCTCTCACATATGATGTCAAGTAGTCGGAATGACAATAATTCACAGAGGAGCTGAAAACGAACACCCATTGCTTTTTTAACTATATTTTAATTTTTGTGCATTTTTCGTTGTTATGTTTGCATACGGCATATATAACGGTCGTGTCGTCTTTTTTGAGATACCTGTTGTACTTGGAATTTAATAAGCAGGTGTTATTCGCATGCTTTATTATGCAACGTTTCAAATAGTATGGATAATATTTTTCATTCAACTTCTTTTTTCTATAAATAATATTCCAAAACCTTTGTTCAATGATAAACATGCCTTCCAGCCATGTGCAATCCTTGAAACCCCGGACTTCAAACGCTGCCGTGTCATTGACTGAGTTAGAGGGAAGAATATTATCAGATAATGTTGTTTGTTCAGAAAATGCATTCATGATTGTTGTACAATCTGGCGATTCATCCATCATTTCAGGAGTAACATCAAGCAATGGTTTCTTGATATACACGGTATGATTCAAAGAGTCTTCTTTTGCCAAAGCGTCTTCGAAAAATGAGTCATCAGTTGCATGCGGTAATGAATTATTTGAACTAGTCGCCTTTACAGCATTTTCATGACATCTTTCGGCTCGCTGATCCAACGTTAAAATCGTTCCTGTTGCGCTCACTTCCTCTTCCTGGTGCAATATTTCTATCAAATTCATCTCCATTTCGATTTCCTCATTGCAAGAACCGCCTCTAATAATTTTTCTCCAGATATCATATATTCTTCTACGATTTTTTAAAGAATTCTCAATACAAAGCTTATCACAAATCATTTCATACACAGAACATGGATTTCTGTAAGCAGTGCATACATCACTCATATTTAGATTTAAATCAATCAGCGCACGACTCATTTCTATACTATTTATAATAGTCGATGTACATGAGGAAGTGCATAAGAATTTTTTTAGGTAATTTTTAAAATCAGAGGTATCTATTATTTTCGATACCATGCTGGTACATCCGTACTTTGTACCTTTCAATGCCAAAGCCAACCGACCAGAAATCGATATATCAATATTTGATCCAATATTTAGTTCAGGCTGAATTTTTTTCAGCTCAGAACACATAATTCTAAAGGCCTTTGTTCGGGATATAAAGTTTTTCTTCGCCATGGCTGATGTTATCGAGTACACACAACACGAAAGTGGCATATGTATGTATTTGCACTTCAATATTGCCTTAAATGTAAATTCTTAAAGGATAGAATTGATTGATCAATATCAAAACTAAAAAATTTTAAAATACAGAAGGCAAACGAAAACTAGAGAAATATTTAGAAGAAAATCTCATAAAAATTTAAGTAATAGAAAATGAAAATATATCAAGAGTATTGGAATATTCCCTATTAGTGAAACGCTAAAAGCTGATCAAAATCTCGGTATTATAGCCGCAGACCAAGAGTAGTGTATAAACCATTTAACGCTGGGTACACATACTCGATCAGGTACCCTAACTTGCGAGTGATGAAAGTACGGCGGCGGGTGATTCTACTAGCTCGATCATTGTAGCCTCTGTTTAGGGTCTAGGGGATATCAAGCGCATGGCACCCGCATAGGAGAGTACCGAAACGGACTCGGCTTTCTCTCCTCGCAAGTTAAGGTACCTGATCGAGTATGTGTAGCCAGCGTTAAATGGTTTATACACTACTCTTGGTCTGCGGCTATAATACCGAGATTTTGATCAGCTTTTAGCGTTTCACTAATAGGGAATATTCCAATATTCTTGATATATTTTCATTTTCTATTACTTAAATTTTTATGAGATTTTCTTGTAAATATTTCTCTAGTTTTCGTTTGCCTTCTGAATTTTAAAAGTTTTTAGTTTTGATATTGATCAATCAATTCTATCCTTTAAGAATTTACATTTAAGGCAATATTGAAGTGCAAATACATACATAATATACCACTTTCGTGTTGTGTGTACTCGATAACATCAGCCATGGCGAAGAAAAACTGTATATCCCGAACAAAGGCCTTTAGAATTATGTGTTCTGAGCTGAGAAAAATTCAGCCTGAACTAAATATTGGATCACCTATTGATATATCGACTTATGGTCGGTTGGCTTTGGCACTGAAAGGTACAAAGTACGCATGGTATCGAAAATAATCGTTACCCCTGATTTTAAAAATCACCTATAAAAATTCTTATGCACTTCCTCATGTACATCGACTATTATAAATAGCATAGAAATGAGTCGTGCGCTGATTGATTTAAATCTAAATATGAGTGATATATGCACTGCTTACAGAAATCCATGTTCTGTGCATGAAATGATTTGTGATAAGCTTTGTATTGAGAATTCTTTAAAAAATCGTAGAAGAATATATGATATCTGGAGAAAAATTATTAGACGCAATTGCGGTTCTTGCAATGAGGAAACCGAAATCAAAAATCAGGATGCCTCTGTCACGGAGATGAATTTGATAGAAATATTGCACCAGGAAGAGGAAGTGAGCGCAACAGGAACGATCTTAATGTTGGATCAGCGAGCCGAAAGATCTCATGAAAATGCTGTAAAGGCGACTAGTTCAAATAATTCATTACCGTATGCAACTGATGACTCATTTTTCGAAGACGCTTTGGCAAAAGAAGACTCTTTGAATCATACCGTGTATATCAAGAAACCATTGCTTGATGTTATTCTTGAAATGATGGATGAATCGCCAGATTGTACAACAATCATGAATGCATTTTCTGAACAAACAACATTATCTGATAATATTCTTCCCTCTAACTCAGTCAATGATACGGCAGCGTTTGAAGTCCGTGGTTTCAAGGATTGCACGTGGCTGGAAGGCATGTTTATCATTGAACAAAGGTTTTGGAATATTATTTATAGAAAAAAGAAGTTGAATCCAAAATATTATCCGTACTATTTGAAACGTTGCATAATAAAGCATGCGAATAACACCTGCTTATTAAATTCCAAGTACAACAGGTATCTCAAAAAAGACGACACGACCGTTATATATGCCGTATGCAAACATAACAACGAAAAATGCAAAAAATTTAAAATATATTTAAAAAAGCAATGGGTGTTCGTTTTCAGCTCCTCTGTGAATTATTGTCATTCCGACTACTTGACATCACATGTGAGAGGAGTAGAGAGGAAGTTGGTGAAGCAGAAGCTGCTCAACAAGAAAGCTTTCCAGTATAAGAAAGTTTCACTTTTAGAAATGAAACCAGAGTTTGCCAAAACAAGCAAACATTTGCTAAATGTAAAATCCGACAGCACTCTAAGGAAGTTAAAATCAGAAACTTCCAGACAGTTAGACAGGTCAAAGGCCGATATGACAGACATAATGATGATGCTGAAGGATCATCCAGAATATATTAAAGAAATATCAATTCCTTTTAATATCAAACTATATGGTATAGAACAAATAAACGTTATGAAATATGAAAAATGCGGTGATGTCCTTCCTATTATATATTTTGATGCAACTGGAGGAGTTGTAAGAAGTCCGGTTCCACTTATTAAGAAAAGAATATATTTATATACTGCAGTTATTCCTATAAGGCCGTCCAAATGAATTTTTCCCATATTCTCGATGGTTTCAGCCAATCATGATTCCAACACTATTTTCAAAATGTTGCATGATTTTAGATACTTTTGCGAAGAGCAAAATGCTTGGCCAGCGTTATCGGGTGTCGTCACCGACTTTTCATTTGCAAATGTGCATGCTGTTTGCAAAGCCTTTAACAGACGTACTGTATCGGAATATATTCAGTTATGTTACGATAAAGCCATAGAAGGAAAATCGACAGATAATAGTGTCATTAAAATATACTTGTGCTGTGCTCATTTTATAAAAATGATATGTCACGATATTGACCGCATAGCGAAATACGACACACAGCGTCGATATTTCAAAGATATGCTTGCAGCTGGCTTATCCATTCATAACATCAACGACTTTGATGATTTGTAATACCTATATTATCTTGAACTCCCAATACAATAGTTATTTAGTTGAACGATCGAAACTATTTTACAAAAAGGCAGTAGATGAATTCCAGGCTGAAAGTATCAATAATTCATTTACATTGAAAATGCTATTGAAATCGACCACCAAATATCTGATGAAGTAATTTATACTTCAAGTCCTTTTTATAAGCGATATTTATCTTTAACTCAAAAAATCTCAATTACATTTGCTCCGAGGGATAACAGAAGTGAATACTTCAATGAAGATATGCTACAACTTGTTGCAAAAAAATACATGCCATATTGTCCGTTTTGGTCGAAATTGATGATAGAAAGTGGCCCTCTGTTAAGCAACGCTTATGTCGAAAACTATTTCGGACAGTTGAAACAAAGCTCTCTCAATGGAAGGCGCAATCTGAAATGTTCAGAATTTGTCAGGATACTGAGAAGAGGTATGCTGTCTTTGAGCAAGGAGAGTAACCTTCAAGTATCTAAGACACGCCTTGCGAGAATCAAAGATAACTCAAACGAAAAACTTTCACAGGAGGCCTGCAATAGACGGAAAAGAAATCACACATCTCACTCTAGTGGTACATATTTAAAATCAGCTGTTGTAAATCCCGACAAAGATAATAAAATCGCCATTCAGGACTGCGTTTTTTCCGAGGACGATTACGATTTCACTCAATGCATTTATTGTGGCCACGGTACTACGGACGTTGTCACTAATTGGGTCCAGTGCTTTGCATGTAAGAAATGGGTACATGAATATTGTTTGAAATTGGAAAACAAAGTCGATATGGAAACATTCAATTTCACATGCAAGATATGCACATCATAGCTTCCTCAAATATCCAATTCGAGTGATATCTATCAGAGCTGTGAGGAACACTTAGAGTCCATAAAGTTATCCCCAGAACGGATTTCTATGATAGAATGCGATACACACCTTCAAAGCAACAGTATAAGATGGCAGGAAGAAAGACAGATCAGAGTTACCTCGTCGTATTTCGGAAGAATTTGCAAGCTAAGGGATGAAAGCTCGTACGCTAACATAGTAGCTGCGATTAGAGGTGGAAACAGTATAAGAACTCCAGCTGCTACTCACGGCATCAAATATGAGAAAGACGCCATACAACTGTACGAAAAACAAATGAACGTACACTGTTCTACGGCTGGCTTGATGATACACCGTGAGTACCCTTATCTTACTGCTTCACCAGATGGGCCTGTAGGAGAAGACGGTACTGTAGAGGTAAAATGCCCGTACAATGCTCGAAATTCCAATCCCCAAAAATATGATTTCGACTTTCTGAATAAGAATGGAGAATCTATTCGAGGGATACATAATTACCATTACCAAATACAGGGTTTACTTGAAATAACTGATCGGTCTTGGTGCGATTTAGTCATTTATACGTTCAAAGGGTCAAAGTCCTGCGAGTGACCAGGAATAAAAAGTTTTGGACGATAATGCTTAAAAAATTGAGAACGTTTTACTTGTTCCATCTATTACCTTCTGTTCTAAATTTTTCAAACCTATCCAAGTCACAAAGGAAGTGGACAACTGCCGAACCAATAAAAGTTATGGATAACGGTTTGGTAGAAAACATTTATTTCTACCGACAGTTGCCGGATAAAAGGGGTTACGTAGTATTAGTAAACAGGGATCTGTACTTTTCAATTAAAGAGCTGCTTCAGGACGATTTTGCTACACTGGATGATAGGCAGTATCTAAGTAATTTCATCGTAGATCACTGCCTGCACACAATCAATAGATCCAGCGGCAACAAATTCCAAATCGTTTCAGTTTCGAAATCATCGATAATATTTTCTGACAACAATTATCCCATTTCCTTCGTTGAAAGCGTTACGTTCACCAAAGATTTGATAGTTATGCCAGTTCTCCAAAATAATCATTACACATTACTGATCTTCTCTATCACGGAAAATTTAGTGACGTTTCTTGATCCCATGGGTAATGAGTTACTCTTCAAAAATACTTATTGTGAAAGACTGTCAACATTTTTGAGGCATAAAAACATAAGCATAACCAAGTTCAATTTTAAAATACCAGACCACGTTATACAAAAAGACGGTTATAGTGTCTATATAATACATTTTTTCCAAAAACTTGCCAAGAACATGAGGCTGGACTGTCAAGTAGATATAGATGAACAAAGGATAAGTTTCAAGTGGATGTTACTTCGCAACAGCTCAGTTATGACGGATATTTGCCTTTTCTGTGCCTGTTCCACAGCTCGAGACAAGGCAGATTGTATTTTCGCTTGTAGGCTGTGTAGAAGAAAGATGCATTTGAAGTGTCTCCTTACAGCAGCAGAATTGGAGAAAAATATAGACGTAAACGAGAAAATGCGTAATAAAATATGTGACCTCTGCAGAGCCAACTAACTAAATGCTTCACCTAGATATAATAAGTTTCCATTAACACATACATTTGCCTGCCCCTTCTTTAGTAGATACCATATAGCGTGATCTGGTCCACTAATTTCAGAAATTTTGGGCTATGTCGCATTCTGGGGAATTATTTCCTTGGCGGTGAACATGAATTCTTACTTATTTTTCTTATCTGCTATCTCTCCTTGTCGTCTAGCTTATAAATAGTCTCTATAACAGAGTATTTTTTTAGGTACAACTGATTTTGGGGAATCATTTCCTTAGGGGTGAAAATGAATTTTTTAGCATATTTTTTTATCTGCCAGCCTTTCAGAAGCTTTCTCACATCATGCCACCTAGCCTATAAATTGTCTCTATAATGGAGTATTTTTTTGAGGTACAAGTGATTTTGGGGAATCATTTCCTTGGGGGTGAAAATGAATTTTTTTAGCATATTTTTTATTTGCCAGCCTTTCGGAAGCTTTCTCACACCATGCCACCTAGCCTATAAATTGTCTCTATAATAGAGTATTTTTTTGAGGTACAACTGATTTTGGGGAATCATTTCCTTGGGGGTGAAAATGAATTTTTTAGCATATTTTTTTATCTGCCAGCCTTTCAGAAGATTTCTCGCACCATGCGACCCAGCCTATGAATTGTCTCTATAATGAGGTATTTTTTTGAGGTACAACTGATTTTGGGGAATCATTTCCTTGGGGGTAAAAATGAATTTTTTTAGCATTTTTTTTATCTGCCACCCTTTCAGAAGCTTTCTCACACCATGCCACCTAGTCTATAGATAGTCTCTATAATAGAGTATTTTTTGAGGTACAAGTGATTTTGGGGAATCATATCCTTGGGGGTGAAATTGAATTTTTTTTGCATATTTTTTATCTGCCAGCCTTTCAGAAGCTTTCTCACACCATGCGACCCAGCCTATGAATTGTCTCTATAATGGAGTATTTTTTGAGGTACAACTGATTTGGGGAAATCATTTCCTTGAGGGTGAAAATGATTTTTTTTAGCATATTTTTTATCTGCCAGCCTTTGAGAAGCTTTCTCACACCATGCCACCTAGCCTATAAATAGTCTCTATAATAGAGTATTTTTTTGAGGTATAACTGATTTTGGAGAATCATTTCCTTCGGGGTTAAAATGAATTTTTTAGCATATTTACTTATCTGCCAGCCTTTCAGAAGCTTTCTCACACCATGCCACCTAGCCCATGAATTGTCTCTGTAATAGAGTATGTTTTTGAGGTACAACTGATTTTGGGGAATCATTTCCTTGGGGGTGAAAATGAATTTTTTAGCATATTTTTTTATCTGCCAGCCTTTCAGAAGCTTTCTCACACCATGCGACCCAGCCTATAAATTGTCTCTATAATAGAGTATTTTTTGAGGTACAAATGATTTTGGGGAATCATTTCCTTGGGGGTGAAAATGAATTTTTTTAGCATATTTTTTTATCTGCCAGCCTTTCAGAAGCTTTCTCACACCATGCCACCTAGCCCATGAATTGTCTCTGTAATAGAGTATTTTTTTGAGATATAAATCATTTTGGGGAATCATTTTTTTGGGGGTGAAAATGAAGTTTTATTTATATTTTTTCATCTAGCACCCCTTTAGAGATTTTCTCAGTATATGCTATTTAGCTCATTAATTACTTTCAATACAGTAATCGGTAAGTGAAAATTCGAAGAAAGGTTTTGGGTTAACTCTTGTTCCTGCCAATTATTTAATTAGGGTGGAAAATGATTCTTCCTATAGGGGTGCTTATTCTCGTGCATATGTATTTAGTGTTGCGAGCTAGTAACTGTATCCTTCACAATCACAGTCTGGTCGAGGATGTCGACGCCACTTGTCATTCGGGTATCTTCGGCAAATTGTCCGCTAAATTTTGTCTGCCAACTTCACACCGGTATTTCCTTTGCCGTTCATTGTCACACAAATGCATAAACGCTAAAGCAAGCTTTGGAGAATCTACAAGATGAAATTGATAAGCTGAAAAGGAAAATCATTGAACTAGAATCGTTAAAGGAACAAGCTGAAAACAATCTTTTGACGGAGTATCTCATGATGCAAACAACAATAGAAGAGCTGACTGTCGAAAATGTGACTAGACAGAAACAAGTTGAAAGGGAAAAGAATCAATTGAAAGTATTTGAAGATGAGGTCATACAGACGGAGAGAAAATATATAGAGGATTTCAACAGGCAAAAAGAACAAATAAATCGACAAAATGTTGAATTTAGGGAAATCAAGGAATTAAATGACATGCTCGGAAAAAACATTCTAAGCTATAAGGAATAAATAGAAAAACTGGAGAGGGGCGTAGAAGATTTGAGGGAGCTTAATAAAAGTATGACTCAAACAATCAGAAGAAGAAAATAAAGCATTGTATAATGGTAGATGTGTAATTGAGTGCAGTCAACAACAAAAGACCAACGTAAGTATCACACCCCAATTGTGTGAAAAGGTAGTCCAGAATTATCATATATTGAACAGAAGAGAGAGTGACTAAACTGCTAGAAGTTCAGGAAATAAAACTACAAAGCAAGATTCTCATAATCCATCTTCACTGGGTAGATATACCTATATTAAAACCAGCTCCGTAATGCAAAAAATGGTGCTGATCATGGGTGACGAATTAGCAAGAGGCTGTTTTACAAAATTGTATTATCGGGACTATAGTAGAAAGTGTTTTAAAACTGAATATAGAAATCGCAGAATTGACAAAACGCCTTTTTACAAGTACTATAGCCCACGGTCAAAATGATTATCTTATTGTTATGCTCAACGCAAAAGACATAAGTAATCGCATGTCCATGAACAATTTTCTTAGAAATGCATTACCATTAGGAAAAACTACAAATCTGCTTATTTTATGTAATTCTGGTTTCACAGATAGGGCGATTGTAGCATATATTCGTTGCTCAATACTTAGAAACAAATACATTAGTCCAAACGTATCTATTAGTTTCTTAGGGGATATGAACATTCGGTACTCAGCTCGCAAATGCATTGAGAAATTTGTGAAGATGGCCTATAATTTAAATAAAAAACCGATACTCAGAACAATAACACCCTCCGTTTTCTCAACAAATGAAGTAGCCCCGGGGAATTTTCAAAACGAAATGGCGCACCTAAAACACACTTAGCATTGGCCAAAACTTTTTATGACAAAAACAATGACAATTATGATAAGGGTAGTTGTACTCCCCGCCCTAATATTGTAATGAAAAAATATATGTTAAATGAATCAGGCTTTAAAGATTATGGCATCCGTTTATTACACCATAATATCCAAGGGATGTAAAATAAGATTGGCCAACTTGAATTGCTTTGTATGAATGACAGGTACCGCGTTTTGTGCTTAAATGAACATTGGTTGAAATCGGATGAATTGAGCTGTCTGCACATTAGTGGTTATAGCGCTGTTTCTAGTTTTTGGAGGAAAATTAAGATCAGAGGTGGTGTGGTAATTTATATTCATGATTTATTTGCTACTGAGTCCCTTCCCATGGATACCTTGAGTTTATCTGATGAAGTAAACTTTGAACTAGCTGGTATTATTATTGGTGATGTACAGCTGGTTTCACTTTACAGATCCCCTAATGGTAATTTTAATTCTTTCCTGTTGAAGTTATCGATGCATCTAGATAAGATTAATAACAATAAATTGCTTATAGTAACTGGTGACTTCAACGGTAAATTCAATACAAATCAATACCAAGTATTATACAGGTAGTGAACTTGTTTGATAGCTATGAGCTTGAGGCTATGGTGTTTGTGGAAACCCGTAAAGCTAACTGTATCGAAAATATATTTACGAATTGCCCATAAATTAAAAAATCTTTAACCGTTTTTGACACCTACTTTTCTGATCACTTAGCAATTTACTTCTCCATAGAATATAAGCCGTATACATCAACATCTAAAGGTTTTAATTATCGTCCAGTTAGAGATATTGGTCTTTTCAATCTATATAATAGTATTGAGCACATAAATTGGGACTTTGTCGAGAATCGTGATATGTCTATTGAATGTATAGTCAAAAAATTCGTCAGAACCCTGGTCGATGAAATTGACAGAAATATTCCAGTGAAATCGAAAGCTCAGCTTGGTTCAACTTAAATCTTCAGCGCATGAGACAGCAATACCAATTTCTGTCAGAATTACACAAATCTCATCCTCAAATTGTTATTAAAGAGTATCTCAACTTATACAAGTGTGAGTATAGACGTACGATAAATCAAGCCAAAAAACAAGCTAATGATCGTTATATTAAAAATGCTAAAAATAGACAACAAGCAGTATGGAATGTTATCAAAGACAACAAACCAATGAAAAGCCAACACACAAGCACGACGCTTAGCGCATCTGATTTTAATCTTTATTTTACTAACATTGCAAATAATCTCGTAAACCAAATTCCATCTTTAGCTTCAGCTCATACGAGCATTTGCATGAGGTAACTCATACAGAAGGTTTTCTTTTAAGGAGGTTACTTACAATTAAGTCAGGGCAGCGATAGATAATTTAAATAAATCTAAAAGTTTTGATGTTTTCGGTTTCAATGCAAAAATTATTACAACTATTCAAAATCTCATTATTATACCATTAACGAAATTATTCAATTGGTGTATTTAAAATGATATATTTTCTGATATTTTCAAACTGTCGATAGTTATCCCCCTCTTTAAAAAAGGCAATACTAATGATCTTTCAAATTATAGACCTATTTCACTTATACCCCTACTTGCTAAAGTACTTGAGATTATTTTGAAAGATCAGCTGAATGACTATTTAAAAAGCAACAGCCTATTTACTGACTGTCAGTTCTGTTTCAGATCAGGTAAGTCTACCTCTCTAGCCATTGACAGCTTCATTGAGAAAATAAATGCAGCTTTTGAAAGTGGTGCTCATTGCTTAGCTAATTGTTTTGATCTTACTAAGGCCTTCGATTGTGTCCAACATGCCATTCTTCTACAAAAATTGTCACATTACAAGTTCCATAATAATAGCATTAGGCTTATTTGGGCAACAGACAGCAGCTTGTAACCTTCAACAACACTCCCTCCAGTACAATGATAGTTTCATGTGGCGTCCCACAGGGTTCAGTGGTGGGTCCAATTTTATTTTTAATATTAATATTAATGACCTTCCCAATTGTAATACAAACAACAACCTTGTACTGTTTACCGATGATACAACAATGCTCTGTAGTAGTAAATCAATTGACCTACTTCTCTCTGTGAATATTGAAAATACAGTAAACTTAGAAAATTGGTTTTTAGCAAATAAACTGACACTTAATGCTTTAAAGACACAGACCATGGTAATAAGTTTGTGTCATCATAACGTCAATACCGTAGACACAGTAAAAATTTTGGGTGTCAGTGTTGATAGACACATGACTTGGCAGGGTCATGTAAACAGTATTCTCACGGTATCCAAGACCATTTATTTAATTAGAAATCTGGAACTATATTATGGATACTTCCACTCAAGAATGTCATATGCACTTTTGAACTGGGGTCACTGTGTGCATATGCCTAAGGTATTTGCACTCCACAGGCGTTGCATCAGAGTCGTCGTAGGTCTGAGTTATATGCAGCCATGTAGGGAGGCATTCATCAACCTAGGGATCCTTACTCTTCAATCTCTATATATATATATATATATTTATCTGCTTATGTTATGTACATAACAATTTAGATCTCTATAAGACGCACAGTGACGTACATAGTTACAACACACGTAACATGCATGAGTTAGAGATTTTTAAACATCGTCTGCAAAGAGCTAGAAACGGTTCTAACTACTATGGAATCCACTGTGGCGCTCAGAATGTCTGGCACCGTCTCATTTAGGAACAGAATTAAAAGCGTACCTCCGGAAAGCCTTTCACAACTTCGAAGAATTTTCAAGTAATAACTTCTAATCTCTAATGTTGGTGCTGCAGTGGTTCCAAAACATAAAAACTTGTTTGAGATAGAGAACGTACTTCAGTATCCAACAAGGATCTTCAATGGTGACGAGACAAACTTTTATTATTGCCCGAAGCTTGGAAAGGTCGTAGATCCTAGAGACGCAAAAATGTCTATGAGGTCGATATTGGTGACTCATGTGGTGTATGTAGTCAGTTTACTTTGCTCTAGACTTGTGATAATACTAGTTGCACTTTGTCCAAATTCAACAAAGATTATTCAACCCGCAGATGTCGCCAGTTTCAAACCTGTGAAAAATGTATGGCCCTATGATGTTTCTCAATGGAGGAGGAAAAACCCGTTTGTTAAACTTGCAAAGGACCAATTTTCCCTCATTCTTAAGATAGCAGTGGAATCTTTAGCTTCAGATTCAATTTTGAGTAGACCTATGGCGTTCGGCATTTATCCATGAAATAACATAGATCTTACTAAGGGTTTGGAGAAAAGGAACAGTAATTGAGAAAACACTGTTAATGAAGGAATTCCAGATATGACCCCAAAGCTTATTATGTTTAAGGTTTTAAAACATCACATGTAAAGAGAAAGTTCTGGAGTTACATCAGTTGCACGATACTCATGATCCAAATCCGAAATTACTTAAATTAATTTTTGAAGACTTTAAAAGCAATAATCATCCTCATTAGATGCTGTAGAAATAAACGAAAATGAAGGTGCATCAAAACAAGTTATTGAATATCCATAGCTCTTGTATACAGCTTGCAATGAATAACGAGTCATCGTACACAGGAGACCAGGTAGCAGAGACGCCAATAGGAAGCAAGCTATGATGATAATTATAATTTAGAACCTGAAGAACCTCTTTCAGATATTTGTGTTACACAGAACAGAAACGTACCTGTAACTCTTCGTCGATATTGATGACTCATGTGGTGTATGTAGTCAGTTTACTTTGCTCTAGACTTGGGATAATACTAGTTGCACTTTGTCCAAATTCAACAAAGATTATTCAACCCGCAGATATCGCCAGTTTCAAATCTGTGAAAAATTTATGGCCCTATGATGTTTCTCAATGGAGGAGGGAAAACCCGTTTGTTAAACTTGCAAAGGACCAATTTTCCCTCATTCTTAAGATAGCAGTGGAATCTTTAGCTTCAGATTCAATTTTGAGTAGACTTATGGCGTTCGGCATTTATCCATGAAATAACATAGATCTTACTAAGGGTTTGGAGAAAAGGGACAGTGATTGAGAAAACACTGTTAATGAAGGAATTCCAGATATGACCCCAAAGCTTATTATGTTTAAGGTTTTAAAACAACACATGTAAGGAGAAAGTTCTGCAGTTACATCAGTTGCACGATACTCATGATCCAAATCCGAAATTACTTAAGTTAATTTTTGAAGACTTTAAAATATATAATCATCCTCATTAGATGCTGTAGAAATAAACGAAAATGAAGTGCATCCAAAAAAGTTATTGAATATCCATAGCTCTGTTATACAGCTTGCAATGAATAACGAGTCATCGTACACAGGAGACCAGGTAGCAGAGACGCCAATAGGAAGCAAGCTATGATGATAATTATAATTTAGAACCTGAAGAAGCTCTTTCAGATATTTGTGTTGCACAGAACAGAAACGTACCTGTAACTCTTCCTCATACCCATGAATCTCCAAATCAAACAGTTAATTCATTTTTAATATACCCGCAAACTCCAGAAAGGAAGGGCGAGCCAAATGTGGTCAGAGCCCCTTTTGTTATCACTTTAACTGTATTCAAGAAAATGTCAGAATCTAAGGAAAACTGTAAGTCAGAATTAGAGCAGCAGAAAATTGAAAAGAGGCAACAAAGGCTCGAAAGCAGAAAGAAAAAGATTTGAAGACGAAACATCTATCCTATCAAAAAAGAAGAAGAAGAGAAAAAAATCATATTCGAGACAAGTTTGATGGACCTATGCCCGGCAATCGTTTGTGTTAACAACATTAGCTCAAGAGATAATGGTATAAAATATCAAGAAGTACACAAAAACATACCATGTTGCGTGCTTGAAGAGGAGAAACATATTCAGATATTTTTTTAGATGTGCATTATAA